TCTGGAAAAAAATGTGGATTCCATGGAAAGCAAGCAGTGAACCCAGGTGTTCCTGACTCTTAAGTTCAGTGCTGTCTTCACGGTCATGCAGCCTCTCACAGTCATTACAAAAGTAATCAAGTTTATTTAAAGTTATTACTATTGCAGTATTACTGCAGTAAACACCGACTTTTTTTGTTCCAAAGTACTTCAAAGAATGTTTGAGCTAAAAGAAGAAACTGCCATTTTTCTTTGTGATATAAAAGATGAAGCAAATTCATTTTATAACAAAAATATCCCCTTGAAACTTGCAATTTTGGTGGATCTTTCTGAGGGGGGAAAAAATCTTAGCACTCTAAATCAGTGCAAGAAGCTCAGATTCATACTGTGATTCTCAAAGTACCTGAATTTATTAAAAAAACCCCTATGAATAATAAATGATATTTTTATGTTAAATTTTAAAAATTATATTAAATTAAATATAATTGATCTGCAGAGCTGGTCTCATTTAATTTTAAAGACCTAAATATGAACAGATAAGGACTGGACCTGTAATTTTTTTTTTTATTAGGCAATTGGGATTAAGTGATTTGCCCAGGGTCACACAGCTAGTAAGTGTCAAGTGTGTGTGGTCTGAGGCCGAATTTGAACTCAGGTCCTCCTGACTTCAGGGCCAATACTCTATCCATTTCGACACCTAGCTGCCCCTGTAATTTTTTTTTTTTAAATAGGGCAATGGTATCAAATTCAAACAGAAACATGGGCCATTAATCCATAGATAAGGATTCCTGTGGGCTACATAGTGACAGTTTTAAAATGTGATATTATCTATGCTTTATTGCATTTTTATTTATTGTTAAATGCTTCCCAGTTACATTTTAATCTGGTTTGGGAGCCTTTGAGAGTGTTGTGGGTCACATGTTTGACGTCTCTGGTCTACTAATGGAAGGCAGTGCCTTCTCTACAACTTGTCATCTTGCAGAGTTACTAAGAAGGTAAATGGTTTGTCCAGAGTCTGTGTGTGTCAGAGGAAGAACCTGAGTTCAAGGCTTCTTGGCCCCAAGGCAGCTTTCTCTCTGCTACCCCGAGCTGCCTCTCATAACGAGCACCTTTGCCAGGAATAAATATGATATTCGGTCTTCCTTTTAGGCCAAGCCTAGCTTAAGTCCAGGGCAACTAGGTGGCGCCATAGTGCACAGAGCACCAGGCTTGGAGTCAGGAAGACTCCACTTTCTGAGTTCAGTTGTGGCCTCAGACACTTACTAGCTGTGTGACCCTGGGCAAGTCACTTAACCTTTTTTTGCTTTAGTCTCCTCGTCTATAAAAATGGGTTGGAGAAGGAAATGTCAGTTTCACGACAGCATGCTTGCCCAGGTTCTGGATAATGGACAATGCTCTCGTGCTTTCCCAGTCACCAATGGAGTGAAGCAAGGCTGTGTGCTTGCTCCTATGCTTTTAGCATGATGTTTTCAGCCATGTTGTCAAATGCCTTCAATGAGGACGAACATGGCATCAAGGTCAGCTACCGCACTGATGGTAAATTCTTCAAAGTGGAAAGGCTACAAGCCAAGACTTAAGAGGAGGGAGGGTTGGTGCATGATTTTCTATTTCAGATGACTGGGCACTCAATTCAGCCTCTGAAGCTGAAAGGCAACAAAGTGCCTTCTGCTAATTTTGGCCTAACAATCAACCCCAAGAAAACACAGGTGCTCCATCAGCCACCATACGTGGAACCATCGGTTATAGCAAATGGAGAGGTTATGAATGCTGTGGATAAGTTCATTTACCTTGGTCGTGTACTTTCCAGGGATGTACACATTGATAATGAGGTTGACACACTCATTGCTAGAGCTAGCTCAGGGGTTGGGAGATTCCAAAGAAAAGTCTGGGAGAGAAGTATTAGACTGACTACCATACTGAAGGTCTATAGAGCCATTGTGCTGACCTCATTGTCGTATGCCTGTGAAACCTGGACAACATACCAGCACCCATTCCAGGAAACTGAATCACTTCCATTTGAATTGTCTTAGGAAGATGCTGAAGATCACCTGGCAGGATAAGATACCAGATACTGAGGTCCTTTCTCAAACTAAATTGCCAAGCATTCAAACTCAAAGCACAACTCAGATGGGCTGGCCATGTTCGAATGCCAAACATAGGCTTGCCAAAAAGACTGTTTTATGGAGAACTCACACAGGGCAAACACTCCCATGGCGGCCAGAAGAAGTGATACAAGGACACTCTCAAGGTTTCTCTCAAGAATTTTGGAATTGATTATATGACAGGGGAGACGCTGGCACAGGACTGTCCAACATGGTGTGCCCTCATCAGTGAAGGTGCTGTGCTCTATGAACAAAGCAGAATTGAAGTAGCTCAAAAGAAACTCCAGATGTGAAAATTTAGAGACAAATCTCCCCCAAACATTCACATGGACTATTTGTGCCCAACCTGTGGTAGAGCATTCTGGAACTTGTAGTGGTCTGATCAGACACAGTTGGACACACTGAAACTTGGCTCTAGCCTAGTGATGTCATTTTGGTCCTCTTGGAGAATGAAGGATAACAACCACCACCAGCCAGCCTATGTAAAACAAACACCACCTCTACCAGCCTTACTATCTCTAAATAAAAAATGTCAACAGAACTGTCTTTTGATATAATCTGTCGAAACAAAAGTTTAAACCTGAAAGTCTTATATTTTGGTTTTGGATAAAGAGGTCTCAGTTTTATCAGATAGAGAGATATTTCATAATGCATTTGTGTGAACGAAGTGCTTCAGTTATTAAAAAGACAGAAGTGTTGATTCTGATTAGTGATGGAAAAAGAATCATTAGTATCAATATCATTAACACATCATCTTTTGAAATACTTTGTACTTAAAAACAAGCTTACCACTCACATTATTATAGTTATTTTATTAATTATAAATGAGAAAAGTATAATATATTTCTTAATAAATGTGTTATTTTTTGTTATATGCTTAAAATTTATTTGTGTCATAAAAGCATCATAAATTTAAATTTTTATTTCAATAAAATAGAAGCTAAGGAAATCATTTGAATAGTCTGTTTTATGAAAAATGTGTGGGCTCTATCATTCTTTCTTTCTCTTTTTTTGGCAAAGGAGAGAATCCATACAGAAAGTTTGGAAACCCTTTCTTAGGTAAAGACAATAAGTCAATCAACAGGCATTTATCAAGTGCCTACTGTGGTCCAGGTACTCTCCCAGGTGCTTAGGATACGGCCCTATGATGTACAAAGACTGGAATAATCCATACTTACGCTTACATTCTAATGGGGCAGATAAATAAATACATGTAAATGTATATATACATGTATATAGCATTAAATGATGTTAATAAATACAAGTACATAAAAAGTAATTAGATACAAGGTTATTTGGGAGGGAGGACCCTAGCAGTTGGGGGAAATCAGGAAAGTTTTCATGCTTGAGCTGGTGTCTTAAAGGATTGCTGTTCGTCCTTTGTTCTCCAAGAGGACGTCAAGAGGGTGATGTCTTGACCTGCAAGTAAATTGAATTTAAGTGAGGCAGGGCTGTGCCTCACTGTCTCCTCCAGCGTCATTAGAGTCCAGTGGCAAGACATAGGTCAAGATGGCTGGCGATTGGCCCTGGATGCAGTGGGAGACATCGGCCTTTTTAAGCTAAGATCTTTCCCAAGTCTCAGTCTGTCCACAAAGCCCATTAAGTAATTAAAGGCTAGGTAAGAATTGAGACAAAGCATTGCCTAGTTTGCCTTCATAAAAGAATCATTTTGGGAGAGGAAGACCCTCAAGGGTTTCTGGCCAGAACAGAAACAGTTGCTATTTACACTCACTCAGAGCCATCAAAGCCCAAACAATGGGAAAGAGAGAGGCTTTAAGAGGCAGAGGAAAGGAGAAAGTGTAGTTCAGGAATGAGGGGAGGACAGTCAGTGCAAAGGCACAAACACAAATAATGGGGGCTGGTGTGTGAGGAATAGAGAAGGTCAGTTAGATCATTGCTGCCAGATTTTCCTTAAGCACAGATCTCCCCATGTGACTTTCCTACTCAATCAATTCCAGTGGCTTCCTATTGCTTCTAGGATAAAATATAAAGTCCTTTGTTTGTCTTTTACAACCTCACACAATCTGCTCCCAACCTGTCTTTCCAGACTCGTTACACTTTACTAGCCCTTCTGCGCTGTGATCCAGCCAAACTGGCCCTCTCTCTGTGCCTCTCGGGGCAGGCCACTCCCATCTCCATTCTTTTGTTCAGTGACTGGACTGTATGTTTGGAATGCACTCTCTCCTCTTCTCCTCCTCATCAAATGCTTTTGTTCCTTTAAGACGCAGCTTAAGCACCGACTTCTGCATGAAACCTTCCTTGATCCCCCCCAATTGTTAGTGCTGTTCCTTCCAAACTACCTAGAATTTATCTTGAATATATTCTTTTTACTCATTCTGTATATATTTATACATATATGTATGTATATATATATGTGCATACATGTAGTGTGTATGTGTGTCTATAGAAGAAAATCTCTGTATACATTGTTCTTCAGTCTTTCAGTCATGTCTGACTCTCTTGGAAAAGATACTAGAGTGGTTTGCCATTTCCTTCTCCAACTCGTTTTACAGATGAGGAAACTGAGGCATAGTATTAAGTGACTTGACCAGGATCACACAGCTATTAAGTGACTGTGTCCAAATTTGAACTCACGAAGTCTTCCTGAATCCAAGCCAGGTGCTCTACTGCGCCACCTAGCCGCCCTTTGTATAGATACACACACATCTTTCCCTTACTAGGTCATTGTGAGTAGGTGTGTTTCATTCTTTGTACGTTATAGAACTGTATAATAGAACTTTATAATGAATAAATACTTATTGTCTTTGCCTTGGGCAATAATGTCCTTCTATAAGAATTCTCACTTTTTTTGTTGCCAAAAAAACCCCATTTTCCATAAAACAATGTATTCAAATAAATTCTTAGCTCACATTTTATTCAAAGAAAATTTAAAACATCACAATTTTACAAGACATGAATCTTAAGCATATAGCAATCACATAGTTATTGAAAATTATTATAATTTTCGTGTTTATAATTAATAAAATAAGCATAATAATGCGAGGGATATAGTTTCATTCTTAGTACTTGTGTCCCCAGCACCTAGCATAGAGTATGGGCTGCAGCAAGAGCTCCCAATTTATCTTTATTTATTTATAAAATATCGTAGGCATTTATAAATGATTGATTCACCACTTCTGGGGAGAAGTAATGTCCAATAAGAATGATAGGTTAGGAAGGAAGGGTTTTGCTTGCAAGAGAAGTGTCATTACAGTGCATCGAATCCGTCCGCGGAGAAGTCTAGTTTTCGTGGAGCACAGAATGATGGAGTACTTGAAGGGCAGTAATATTTCATGAAGGTGGAGATTCTACAGTCCAGGCGAACTTGCTTTTAAAAAATGATGACTATATTTCAGTCTAATTGGTTTCCTTTGCAATCTTTGTATGTTTTATCTTATGCATTTAAAAACATTCCGAGAAGGGGTCCATATGTTTCACCAGACTGCCAAAGGCCTCCACGACACAAAAAACGATTGAGCTCCTCGTCTAAGTCCAACCCCCTCATTTTACAAACTAGGAAACTGAGGTTCAGAGAGGCGAGCTTGGCCTTTCCTTTTATTCACGGCTGAAAACAAGAGAGATCAGTCCCCAAGAGATGATTCCCGGGTCCTTCCAGCAAGCTCCGGAGCAGGAGCAACAGCAGCACGAGAGAGCTTTCTCTATAAAAAGTGGTCCCTAACTTTGCCAGGAAACAGCTGCGCAAACCTCTCTCCGCCCCGGAAGTGCGTCTAGTCAGAGTCTGCGCTACTTTGGCGCGCTTTTGAAAGAGCCTCTTCCTTTCTTGGCCGCCGCTGCTCGCGCTGGTGCAAACACCTTCTCCTTTGGAGCCCGCCTAGCATCGTCCCCGCATCAGGGATGCGCACCCGCGAGGAGGTGGACGCGACGCTGCAGATCGCGAAGCTGAACCCCTCGGAGCTGCTCCCCACCGTGCACTGCCTGAGCTTCAGCCCCGGGGCCAGCGGGGCCACAGCTGGGGACTTCTGCCTGGTGGAGCTGGAGCCCTCGCTCTGCCAGCAGCTGGAGGCGGGGCACAGGTAGGACACGCCCACTCTCTGGGTGGCGACCTGGGACCATTGGCCCCCCCTCCACCTCTACCCCGGCCGGATGGTATTTCACTGGACTCAAGTCTTGGCCTTAAACCCTTGTCTACTCCTGGCCAAAATAATGCTATAGCACTTAAAAATATTTATTTTCACATGTATTTATTATCTTTCTTTCCCACTACCCGCTCTCCCACTGAACAAAAAAGAAAAAAGCACTCACCGTTCTGCCAATCAAAGTCTTACATTGGAAATGTATGTAAATTTCTGCGTTTTAAAGTCATCACCTTTCAGCCTGGAGATGAATGGGTAGGAGAAAAGGGAAACGAACGAGCATTCTTCGCGCGCCTGCTCTGTGCCAGGCACTGCGATAAGCGCTTTACAAGCATGTTCGCTCATCTGGTCCTCACAACAAACCTGTGGCAAGTTTCCTTATCAGTCTTTTGGCCTTGTTGTTAATCATTGCATTGGTCAGAGCCCTCAAGTCTTTCAAAGTTGTTTTTTTCCACAATGTTCTTTTGCGTATAATTTGTTCTCCTAGTTCAGCAGGCATTGTTCTGCATCAGTTCAGAGTTCTGAAAACTGTCAGTTTTATCATTTCTCGTGGCACAATGATGTTCCATTACATTCACATACCGCAGTTTGTTTAGCTGTTTCCCAGTAGGAGGCACCTCCTTAGTTTCCAGTTTTTGTTGCTACAAAAGTCTGTAGCACTTTGAGCATTTCCCGATTCTATGTTATCATTTTGGCCTTATGAAGACCTTGTGTGGCAGTGAAGGCCACACTCCCCCCCCCCCCCCTTTTTAAATTTAGGCCTGGAGAGATGGGATTTGACTTAGATTAAGTGCCTAAGTGGGGATTCAAATACACTTACTGATAACCCCAAGCTCCTTATTTTCCAGGTGATCAAAAGAGGCCACCAACCCCCTCATTTTAAATCCCTGGTGCTTTCTCTAGTGTTCTACCCTAGAGAGCCACTAATGCTCCTTTCTGTTTACTCAGTTCCATTGTCATTTTTCTTCCTGTATTTCACCTTGCTGTTTTTTCCACTGTGTGCATGGCTTTTTGTTGGTTTCTATATTTTCCACCTTTAACTTGTATTACTAGCCCATCAAAAGTGTATAATAACTGATCTAGGTAATCATTATAGTACAAAGTGTCAGAAGACCTATGTTCCCATTCCCAATTGTCACTTTGGGCAACCTCTCTTCTTCTGTGGAATTGGGATAATGTCAGGGGCAAGTGAGATAATGTATATATATATATATATATATATAAAGTGATTTGTAACTGAAAAATGTTATATGCAGTAAGCTATTATTATGATGAATAAATTTTATAATCAATCAACATGCATTTATTAAGTGCCTGCTAAGAATCAGACATGATAAATAAGCTTTTATGATAATCAATCAACATGTATTGATTAAGTGCCTACTGTGAGCCAGGCTAAGGGGATAAAAAACCAAAAATGTCCCTGCCCTCAAGGAGCTTACATTCTAATGGAATTCCTAAGGAGTTTACATCCTAATATTAGTCTTAATAATAATATTATTATAAAGGCATTGTGGAATAATGAATACAGTGATTGTCTCGAAGACCTCGGTTCAAATCCAGTCTCTGACTCATAATAGCTGCTACTATGACAACTATGAGTCTCAGGCAACTCCATAATACCGTACTAGGTTATAGTTGAGACCTCAACGGAATGATACCAAGAGGCTCTCAACCCTCCTCCATTCCCCAAATTAAAAAACAAAAACAAAAACAACTTCTGATTTTTTTTTTTTAGATTTTCACAATAACTCATCCTTGTGAAAATAAATGTCCCTTGTCATTAACCTCCATCTGGGCATCTATATAGGCACCATTGTATTCCAGAGCTAATAGTGTTTCTTCCATTTTAAACTACCTCCTAGGATCTGGATTAAATAAATATTTGAATTGGATCAATTAGTCTTTGGCCACACTGTAAAATAAATTATTGCATTTGGGAAATCCAACTTATAATAGAAGTTCTGTATTTGACAAGTCGTTAGACTTTTTTTTTTTTACTTGAGTGTTATGTGGGTACAACACAACAGAAAGCTGGAAAGTGGATGCAGGGGAGGCACTGGAGGTACTTGGCAAAGCTGAAACCAGCAGGGCTGCAGATGGTGGGTGGAGTATCCCGTTTCTGTCCTCTATAAAGGAAGGCTTTGCCAGGAGATTAGTGCTCCACTGTGCAGCCCTCTAATGGAGGGGAGAGAAGGATGTGAATGATGTGTCTTGAGTATCCAAGGCCGTTAGCACTATGGTAATGAGATTAAAGGCCAGCAAGATGACACAGTGGATAGACTATGGGCCTGGAGTCAGGAAGGCTCATCATCCTGGGTTCAAATCTGGCCTCAGATACTAGTTGTGTGACCTTGGGCAAGTCACTTAACCCTGTTTGCCTCAGTTTCCTCATCAGTTAAATGAGCTAGAGAAGGAAATGGCAAACCACTCCGGTATCTTTGCTGAGAAAACCCCAAATGGGGTTATGAAGAATCAGACACCACTGAAAAAGGGCTGAACAAATGAGATTAAAAGTGATCAGTTTATCAGCATCTTGTTCTGTGGAGTTGAAACCAAGCAGCGCTGCAAATGTAGAATGAATGAATGAATGAATGAACATGTGCATGCTTATATTTATACATAAATGGAAATTTCTTTCATAGACATTTTTGCTGTCTCATGTATGTTTTTTTCTTTTTTTCTAGTCTTGTGATCCGTGGTGACAAAGATGAACAGGCAGTGATTTGCAGCAAAGAGAAAACCTATGACCTGAAAATAGCAGATACTTCAAATATGTTGCTTTTTATACCGGGCTGCAAAACTCCAGATCAAATAAGAACTGAGGAAATGCCTTCTAACATAATTCACACTGAGGTATGACTGTTTTCTACCCTTTTTGATTTCTAGAATAGTCAGAAATGATCAGTGGGCTAATCTAACAATTTTTAATTTGTTTAGCTTCATATATTATACTTGTAATAGTAGCTGACATTTGTAAAGTACTTGTAATCAATCAATTAACAAGCATTTATTAAGCACCTACTAAGTGAAGGTACAGTGCCAGGCACTGAGTAGACAATGTAACAAATTACACAATCCCTTCTTAAAGAAAGTACTTTATACCCATTTCCTTTGAGCTTCATAGTAACCCTATGAGATAGGTAATAAAGGTATTACTGTTCCCATTTTACTGATGAGGAAATTGAAGCTCAGAGAATTTCAGTGACTTGCCTATAGTCATGCAACTAGGAAGTGCCAGAAGTGGAATCTAAGCCCAGATCTCTTCTAATTGCAAACACAGGGTTCTTTCTTTCATACTACACTTTATACTCATGTGATATTGGGGGCAACATGAGGGTGAAAAAAAGCCACTGGATTAGAGTCAGAGGAACAGAGATGGAATTCTGTTTCTCCTGTTTATTACCTGTGTGATCTTGGACAAATCAAGTAACCTCTTCAGGTGTCAGTCTTCTTATTTGTAAAATGAGGTGATTGAATTTGATGTTGTCTACCTACCCTCTTTGCTGACCTCCAATATCAAGTTTCTGGCCACCTTTCAGATATCTCAAACTAGATATCCAGTAGACATAGTAAACTCAATATGGCCAAAACAGAACTCATTATCTTTCCCCCTAAACCCTCCCTACTTCCTACCTTCCCAATTACTATAGAGGGCAGCACTATCCTCCCAGTCTTTCAGGCTCTAGAAATCATTCTGGATTCCTTACTATATCTTCCTCCTTCCCCTCTCTTCCCAACGCCCCCAAATATCCAAGATGTTGCCAAGGTCTCTTTGTGATATCTCTCAAATATGCCCCCTTCTCTCCTCTGACACTTCCATTTCCCTAGTGCACGTGGTCACCCCTTTACACTTGACCTACTTCAATAGGCTGCTGGTGGGGTCTGCCTGCCTCAAGTCTCTTCCCACTCCAATTCATCCTCCATTCAGCCACTAAAGTGATTTTCCTAAAGCTCAGGTCCAGCCATGTCACTTTCCTATTCAGTAAATTCCAGTGGCTCCCTGTCACCTCTAGGAGCAAATACAAAATACTCTGTTTGGCACTGAAAGCCCTTTATAACCTAGCCCCCTCCTACCTTTCCAGTCTTCTTACATTCTTTCATCCATGACCACTGGCCTTCTGGCTGTTCCATGAACAAGACATTCCATCTTTTAACTCCAGGCATTTTCTCTGGCTGTCCCCCTTGCCTGGAAGGCTCCCCCTCCGTAACTCTGCCTGCTGACTTCTCTGGCTTCCTTTAAGTCCAACTAAAATCCCACCTTTTATGGGAAGCCTTTCCCAAACCTTAATTCTAATGTCTTCCCTCTGTTAATTATTTCCTATTTATCCTCTATATAGCTTGCTTTATATATATTTGTTTACATGCTGTCTCCCTCATTAGATTGTAAGTTCCATAAGGGCAGGGACTATCTTTTGCCTCTTTTTGTATCTCCAGTGCTTAGCACAGTGCCTGGAACATAGTAGTAATAATAATAATGACAATAACCAACATTTATATAGTGCTTACTATGTACCAGGCACTGTGCTAAGCACTTTACAGTTATTATCTCATTTGAGCCTCACAATTATCCTGGGAGGTAGGTGCTATTATTATCCTCTTTTTATAGATGAGGAAATTGAGACAGAGGTTAAGTGACTTGCCCAGGGTCACACAGCTTGGAAGTGTCTGAGACTGGATCTGAACTAAGGTCTTTCCAACTCCAAGTCTGGTACTCTATCCACTAAACCACCAAACTGTCTTGTAAGCGCTTAATACATGTTTATTGATTGATGTACCAACCTTTCCAACTGTAAATCCTATGAGGTTATGAAGATTCTTAGTTTCTTTGAAATTTCCTTGTTTGAAAGGATATCTACTTTTTTTTTTTTTTGGCAATTGGGGTTAAGTGACTTGCCCAGGGTCACACAGCTAGTAAGTGTCAAGTGTTTGGTCTGAGGCCGGATTTGAAGTCAGGTCCTCTTGACTCCAGGGGTGGTGCTCTATCCACTGCTCCACCTAGCTGCCCCCAAGGATATCTACTTTTTAAAGAAGTTCAAATTAGGGGAAGAAAGACAAAGTGACTTTTTTTCTCTAAAGCAGAAGGTTGGCTTTTAAGTGACTCGTTCAGAAAAATAGACTTGATTTTAGTTCATTTCTCTATGGAAATGTTTTGAAGGGAGACTCCTTCACACCGTAGCCACTGCATTTTGGAAAAGCTTTTAAGGGTGGAGAAATATAAAAATTATGCCTTTTTAAAGAAGTCATTGCTTCCTTGCTTTAAACTCAAGTTAGCTGGTTAAATTTTATAGCCAAGTGTGGCTAGTCCTTAATTACTTTGGAGCAAAAGACCCAATGTCACCATTAAGCAGATGTCTCCAGCCTGTCTACATTGGCCACACAGAACATTCTACTGGGGAGATCCAGCATTACACAGATAAATAAACTCAAGATAATTTGGGTTGAGTGAGATTCCCTAGAGACTGGCAGGAGTCATTAGTTATTCCAGACTGAAACAGGCCAGCAAATTGGGAACTGACTCCTTTAAACATATTAATGGACTGGAAGGAAGAGAAGACAATGGGGAGGTTTCAGTGATTCATATGAAATTACTGGAATAGAGGTACTTCCAACTCTTATTTTAATTATCTTAAGGATAGGTCTTTTTCAGATCATTCATGCTGCTTCTCTGGGAGCCAGTGTAATATGGTGGAAACATAACTTGCTTGGGATTTGTTTCTTTTTGTAAAATGTATATAGTGATTGCCACCAATTTGGCTTAAAGAACCTTAGTGAGAATGATACTCCTTGGTCCTCCTTAACTCATACGACTATAGATGTAGAACTGGAAGGGACCAACATCTCACCTTGTCTTGGGGCAGCAAAGTGGCCCAGAGGACAGAGAGCTGGACCTGGAGCCAAGAAGACTTGAGTTCAAATCTAGCCTCTGACACTTACCAGCTGTGTGACCCTAAGTCACTTAACTTCTGTCTGTCTCAGTCAGTGCCTACCTTCCAGGGTTGTGGTGAGGATGAAATGAGATAATATTGGTGAAGCACTTAACATAGTACCTGGTACACAGCAGGCACTTAATAAATGCTTGTTCCCTTCCCTCCCTCCCTCCCTGTCTTGTAAGTTTTCTCTCTGATCTTTAGTTTTCTTAATAGCTAATAGCTAGCATTTCTCTAGTTAAGGTTTCCAATGTGGTTTACATATGTTAAATCACTCGATCATCTTTTGTAGTCTTTCTCCGGTTATTCATGTCTTCCCAAATTTTCCTCCCCCAAATTCAGCTTCTGGTCTTCTTCTTTATAATTCCTGTGTCCTTTAAATCTCCCTTACAATTCCAGCTCCTTCTACAGCTCAAGTCTTTCATCTGCCCTGTCTTCCAAAGGCATCAAACTCTGTCCTTTGGCCAGTGGGAAGCAGCCACCAGAGAAAGGTGGAAGAACCTAGAGGTGTTTTTTGGCCACTAGGAAGATGAAGAGAGAAACCCAAAGGGGAAAGCTACCATTTCTCACTGGAATCCTCTTTTCTCACCTCCCTTGTTCTTCAGTTTTTCCTCATGGTTTCTTGGATCCCCACACTTCTGATCACCCTCCTTCAGATAGACTCTAGTTCGTCAGCCTCCTTTTTAAAAATAGTATTTTATTATTTTTTCAATTATATATAAAGACAATTTTTAACATTCATTTTTTATAAAATATTGAGTTCTAAATTTTCTCCCTCCCTTTCATCCCCCCTTTCTAAGATGGTAAGCAATTTGATATAGGTTATATATAGATTACATATATAGGTTATATATGTGCAATCATGTAAAACATATTTCTATATTAGTCTTGTGTGAAAGAAGAAATAAAAGGAAAAAAACACCAAAAATAAAGTGAAAATAGTATGCTTCAATCTGCATTCAGACTCCATCAGTTCTTTCTCTGGATGTGCGTAGAATTTTCCATCATGAGTCCTTTGGAATTGTGTTGGATCAATGCATTGCTGAGAAGAGCTAAGTCAGTTATAGTTGATCATTGCACAATGTTGCTGGTACTATGTACAATGTTCTCCTGGTTCTGTTCACTTCATTTTGCATCAGTTCATGTAAGTCTTGCCAGGTTTTTCCCCAGCCTCCTTCTTAAGGTATAGCACTCAAACATTGGATTTCAACTGTCTTTAGCTTCTATAAAAAGTCTGTTAGAGTCTTTGCTGATAGTATCTATAATTCAATTCCTAATAAGAAAAGGTTGTAGCCTAGATATCCTTCTTTTATGCAAAAATCATATTTTTGAAGTAATTTATCTGATTTAAATTTTTTAAAAGCAGTTTTACTGTTGCCTTTTGTTTTTCTATCAGTCATTTCCTCTTAGAGCTGCCCTCCTTTCCTTTCTTTTAACAACTACAACAATAAAATATGATTTTGTAAGACTATAGGATCATAGATAGATCTGGAAAGGACTAGAAGCCATTTAATCCAACCTCATTTTACAGATGAGGAAACTGAGGCTCAGAGACGATAAAGGACCCATCCAAGGTCAAGCATAATTGAAGACTCTCCATGGTAACTGATACCCTGTCATACAGCAGTTAGAAGGAAATTAATAAATATACCTTTCCATCCCAAATATTAGGGATAGTTTAGGTGTATTCCTTCTTGAATCTGCTGTGTTTCTTTATTCATAGGTATTTTCTTTCTGTTTGGATTTTATTTGATGACTGTCATATAGCAGAGTGTATAAATGTTTATAATACTTTTTAAATTGTAGATCTTTGGTTTTGCTAACAATTATTGGGAATTAAGAAGATGTAGGCCAAAATTAAAGAAACTGAAGAAACTTTTGTTGGAAAATCCATATGAAGGGCCTGATGCTCAAAAAGAAAAGGATTCAAATCATTCAAAAGTAAGACTTCTGAACTTAATTTGTTCAGTTGATGTGTTTTCATAATTAGAGAATTGGAGATTCTTAGTAGTGACATTTTATAGATGAAAAGACATTTATTTTTGCATATTAATAAATGATAGTTTAATAGAAGCAAGATTAGAGGGTTTTTTAAAGTATCTCTTGGGGAAAGGCATTATGTAAATGAACAATCTTATGAATGTATCAAAATTGATTTAAGAAAATGTAGGACAAAATTTAAATTAGAATGAAATGGTTTTGTGAGGAACACATTTTAAAAATGCAATCCAAAATTGAAAACTCTGTCATACTAGAATTATTTTTTTGTTGGCAGACATTTACTTATTATCAACAAGCAGTCTTTACTTATTATCAACAAAACAAAGTAAGACAGTGTCATTGGTCCAATTAAGTAATCTAATTTTGGCATCCATGCCGAAGGTTGCAAAAGGAATTCTGGAAAGCAGCATTAGATTGTATGTCTGAGGCTCACTTACCCATTTTTGCTTTTCAGTATACAATGGCAGACTTGCTTGATCAAATTCAGGCAAGTGAGGAGGAAATCCTGGCCCATTTACAAGTTCTACATGCCTGTGAAATTGGAGGTAGTATTATTTATTATTTTTATCATCAGTAGTATTAGGAAATAGGGAACTGAAGAGGCATTACAAGAGGTAGAGTCCTGGGACTTCTTCATCTTAGTTAAATGTCATTTTTGTGTTTCAAGGTAACAGTATCAATAGTGGTAGTGGGGGTGTCTTTGTGTTTTGGTTGTACTATTTATTCTCATGCAAACAAAGAGTCTTGAGAGCAGGGATTGTTTCTTTTATCTTCATCTACTCACGGTGCTTGACAATTAGTAAGTGCTTAAAAAGTACCTGTTGATTGACTGATACACAGAATATTTAGTGGATGAAGCTTAGCCTCTACTCTGTGACCATGACTACTTACAGGGTTTATCATTGTTTAATTGAATAGATAAATGATTTAGTAGAGATCCAGAGTTCCCAGATTAATTCCACCCTCCCTCCCCTAACTGTGAAGAACTTTCTGTGGTCCAAAGGCCAACCTAGTTAAGTTGGAGAGATTTGGAATCAGCTTGATAGCAACAAGATGACAATTTTGTCCATAGCTCACCTCAGAGACTAATTACTAAGGCAGAACAGAGCTTCAGCTATCAGTACAGGGATAAAATCACAGACACCTCCCATATTGGTCTACTTTCTGTTCCATTTGCATTGGCTACCCCAGCATGCCTAGAATGCCCCCTCTCCTCTTGGAATCCCAGGTTCAAGTCTCACCTGCATGAAGCCTTTCCTAGTCTTTCCAACTTTTGAGATACCCTCTCCCATCCTGTTCTGGTCATTTTTGTATATATTGAGTATATACTCATGTACAGATGTTGGCTTCCCCATTAGAATGTAAGGGCAAGGACTGTTTGGTTTTTTGTTTTTTTTTTTTCTTTATATTCCCAGAACTTTAGCACAGTCCCTCACACTATAGTAAGCACCTTATAGATTTGTTTGATTGATTGAGTAAAGTATTTTTTACCATTGATTAACAGGTACCAAGAGACTGGTTAATGTGTGACAGTCTTATTCTTTGTCATTATGTGGTCACTTGCTTTGAGAAATGGATTTTTTCTCCCTGAAAAATATTTGATACATTTTGGGTATTTTGATTCATTGAGAGACAAGTCTGCCTTTAATAGCATACACTTAAGCAGGGCTTTGCCTGTTTACAAAACACTTTCCTCACAACACTGAGGTAGGTAGTAGAGGTATTGTTATCCTCATTTTACTGATAGGGAAACTGAGGCTCAGAGAGATTAAATACCTTGTTCATGGTAACAAGATTAATAAATATCAATGCTGAGTCTCAAACCCATGCCACCTTAGTATTTTCTATGTAAAAAATGGCTAGGGCCAGTGTTTGTGTATTTGTTTGAAAGAAAAAGCAGCTCTGGGTAGTGGATAGAGTATTGGAGTTGAATTAGGACAACTTGAATTCAAATACTGCCTTAGACAGTTAGTAGCTTTTCAAATCTAGATAAGTCACTTAACCACTCATAGCCTGTTTCCCCATCTGTAAAATGGGCATAATCCTAGGATTGTTGTGAGAGTCAAACAGATAACATACAAAGCTCTTTGAAAACCTTAAATCATTATATAAATAGTATTATTATTATTATTGAAAAATTTGTAAATAGAAATAGAAGGAACCCTACAGATCATCTAATCCAACCCCCTTGTTTATAGTGGGAAACAGACCCAGGGAAGCTCTTAAAATTCTCCTGTGAAAAGAATATAAACTTCTTGAGAGTGGAAACAATGTCACTTAAAAATTTGTATCTGCAGTAATTAGCATATATGTGAAGTGCTTAATAAATATTTTCCCAACTCAATAGACTTGCTCAAGGTTACTCAGCCTAGTATGTAGCAGAGCCAAGATTAATCCAGCTGGTCCGATTTCCAAATGCAGTGGTCTTTCTACTGTTCCTCTTCCACATTTGTTTTCATGGTTTGTACTTATTTTTCCTCTTCTTTTTTAGGTCTGATTTTTTTCCCTACCTAGCGTTTAGTACTTGTGAAGTACAACTTGAGCTGTACTTGAATAGGTTTCTGCCTGCCTTCTTTGCCTGTCAGCCATGCTACCACTGCTGTTAATCTATACCCATGGATTATGAGGTCAGGACTTGTCTTAGATAATTAGACTTTCCAATCTGCTTTGGGGTTCCTGAAAGACCTTAAAATCTCACAAAGATTAGTTCCAAGGGGCCCGATTAAAACTACTGATGCAACATCAAACTTACTTAGAAACAGCTTCTTAACCCTTAACCTTTTCTAATGCTAGCTCCTTAAAAACATTAGTTTGTCTAAACTCATTTAGTGAGATGGGCACTAGGGGCTATACAGTGCCAACAGGCTGAAAACTGGTATTCCTTCTAGGATTCTGTCCAGTTTCTAAAAATGATGTGAAAATATACTCACGAAGTATTCTTTTAAATTTGGGGCCTGAAAGAATGTAAGGACTTTAGAGAAGGTGGGATTAATAGTATTTTACTTTTCCTACACTCTGTTTTGTTTTTGCTTTTTTTAGGCAATTGGGGTTAAGTGATTTGCCCAGGGTCACACAATTAGTATGTGTCAAGTGTTTGGTCTGAGGCCGGATTTGAACTCAGGTCCTCCTGACTTCAGGGCTGGTGCTCTATCAACTGTGCCACCTAGCTACCCCTCTACACTCTGTTTCTGAATATCACAAATTTGTTCTGAGGCAGCTAGGTGCCAGTGGATAGAGTGCTGGGCTTGGAGTCAGGAAGACTGAGTTCAAGTTTGGCCTCAGACTGATGATGATGATGATGATATAACAACAGTAACATTTATATAACACCATGTGCCAGGCACTGTAGTAAATACTTTATAATATTAATTGGATCCTTATAACAACCCTGAGAGGTTGATGTTATTATTTTCCTCATTTTATAGTTGAAAGAACCGAGGTAAACAGTTGACTTGCCCAGGGTCACACAGCTAGTAAGGAGTCAAATTTGAACTCAAGTCTTCCTGATTCCAGGCCCAGCTCCCCGTGTACTATGGCGCCACCTAGCAGCCGGTGTGACCTTGGGCAAATCACTTAATCTCCATTTGTCTTAGTTTGCTCATCTGTAAAATGGGGATAATAGTAGCACCTACCTCCCTGGGTTTTCATGAGCATCAAGTGAGACAGTATTTATAAAATGTTCTGCACAGTTCCTGGCACACAGCAGGAGGTACAAAAATGCTAGCTGTTATTTTTTTTCTTAGAAATGATAGGGTAGGTAATTTGTGTTTTTCTAACAGCTTCTTACAATAATCTCTGGAAGAGGTGCCATGTTGTGGGGAGAATGCTAGGCCTGGAATCAAGAAGACCTAGATTCAAATGTCTCCATAGATACTTACTAGCTGTGTGACTCTGGGCTAAGCCCTTGACCTTTCTAGGCATTAGTTTCTTTATTTGTATATTAAGAGAATTGAACTTTGGCTTCTAAAGTTTCTTCTATCTCTAAAAAATATGACTTTAAGAAATTACATTTGTATTATGTTTTTAACTTTTAAAAAATTCTTTCATATCTGTGGTCTATTTCTCTCATTGTGGCATAATGAGATTACTACTGGGCTTGGAGTTAGAGAACTTTCATTTGAATCCTGACATTATTTGTGTGACCTTGGGAAAGTCACCGTTCTGGACCTCAATTTATTGATGTGTAAAATAAGAGGGCTAAATTTTGTTAGGGAGGGGTTTGACACCCCCACCTCAATCACTTAGTCATCAGAGTAAACTGGGTAGGAAGAAGTCCTTAATCAAGTTGAAAAGATCCAAGTGCTTTGATCATTGGATGAAGACAGATGCTGCCACACAGGAAATATGTGATTCCTGTGATTGGCTTAGAACGCCAGATGTACCTCCAGTCCTGCATATAAAACAGCAAGCCACTTTGGAATTCTCGATTCTAGGCACATGCCAGTCTCATGGTGCAGATCCAGCCACACCTGGAGGAGAGTGGAAAGCTCTCCCTGTGGTAATCATATATGTTCTGGAGATCCATCAGAGCCAACAGAGATTCCCTGGGTGACTAGAGGCTGTAGCATTCACCACCAGAGTGGTAATGGCTAGCAACAAAGAAAGCACTTGCGGATGGATGTGGAAAGGCAGACACTCAAGGACACTGATAGCTTTATTAACTCTAGAGTGGCACCAATCCTCAGAGCCCAGCAGGGAGCTATACCTAGGTGAAACTTGATAAGGACAAGGAAGAAAAGGACTCAAAATAATCAAGGGTTGTGAGTTTACCCTTTGATCACACATATTCTCTATGTGTGCTTCACTTCCATCATGTAAGTTTAAGCCCACTGTTTCTATGGTCTCTATATATACTTATAGGAGAATATGCCTTAGGTTTTTGTAGGTTTTTTGGATAGGGGGATGGAGAAGGGGATATTTTATACAAATTATTCTTTTTTTAAAATAGTATTTTTTTTCTCCAATTACATGTCAAGACAATTCTTAGCATTTTTTACAAGATTTTGAATTCCAAATTTTTCTCCTTCCCTCCCCTTCCCTTTTCTGAAAATGGTAGGCAGTTTGATATAGATTATGCATGTGCTATCATGCCAAACATATTTTCATTAGTCACAGTTGTGAAAGAAAGAGATAGGAAAAAAAAACACGAAAAAGAATAAAGTAAATGAAAAAAGTATGCTTTGATCTGCATATCAATTCTTTATCTGGATGTAGACAGCATTTTTCTTCGTGAGTCCTTTGTACTTGTCTTGGATCATTATGTTGCTGAGAAGAGCTGAGTCATTCATAATTGATCATCACACAGTGTTGCTGATACTGTGTTCATTTTCCTTCGAAAGGAAATTCAGCTTCATTGAATTCCTTATGTTTCCTTTTCCCTTTTTCCCTTTTTAAGTCTCTCTTGGGTCTTGATATTGGAGATCAAGTTTTTTGTTCATTTCTGGTTTTTTCTTTATGAAAGCTTGAAATCCTTCTGTTTCTTTGAATGACCATTTTTCCGTCCAAGTATTGTGCTTAATTTTTCTGCGTAGGTGATTCTTGGTTGTATCTAGCTCCTTTGCCTTTTGGAATATCATGTTCCATGACCTCCGATTTTTATGTTGCAGCTGCTAAGTTCTGTGTAATCCTGATTGTGACTCCCCGATGTTTCTTTCTGGCCACTTGCAGTACTTTTTCCTTGACCTAATAGTTCTGTAATTTGGCTTTAATGTTCCTTAGAGTTTGTATTTTGGGATCTCTTTCCTGAAGTGATCAGTGGATTCTTTCAATGCCTATTTTGCCCTCTGGTTCCAGGATAGCAGGACAGTTATCCTTGATAATTTCTTTTTTTTCCTCTTTTTTTAAAAAAAGTAATTTATTTTAAATTTAAATACTAAAACTTAAGTATACCATAAGAAAAATATAAACTTAAATGCAAAATAAGAAAAGAAAAAAAATTGCCATGTGCACAGCAGAAGGTAAGAGAGGATTCAAAATATACAACAATAAATTTCCATTTCAAGAAAGCCTATATAATAAATACTACATGTTATGTTCAGAGCTGTTCATCTTTTCTTTGCTTCCTTATAAGTTTTTTTGGTCTCTGCTGTGGAATTTCTACTTTGTTATTTTTTTCCCCCTTCTTCTTCCTTCTCCAAGGCTATAATGAAGTGTGGATGGAACTATCTATCTACACACACACACACACACACACACACACACACACATACATATATGCAACAAAGATATAAATACATAGGTATACACATACATATACTTAGATATCTATAATCGTACTCATATATAGACATACATTCATATGCGTCTATGTAACCCATACTATACTTATTTGTCCTCTGTTTTACTTGATAATTTCTTTAAAGACGCTTTCCAGGTTCTCCTTTTGATTATAGCTTTCATTTCAGGTAGTCCAGTGATTCTGACGTTGTCTTTCCTGGATCTGTTTTCCAGGTCAGTTGTTTTTCCAATGAGGTATTTTACATTTTCTTCTATTTTCTCATTCTTTTGAATTTATTTGATTGATTCTTGATGTCTCATAGAGTCATTAGCTTCCACTTGCCCAATTCTAACTTTTAAGGAATTGTTTTCCTTAATTTGCTTTTGTACTTCCTTCTCCATTTGGCCAATTCTACTTTTTAAGGAGTTGTTTTCTTCAGTGGATTTTTGTATCTCCTTTTCATTTGGCCAGTTCTACTTTTTAAGCAGCTGGTTGTTTTGTTTTGTTTTTTCCCCAAGCTCTTGACTCTTTTTTTCATAATTCTATTGCATTGCTCTCATTTCTTTTCCCAGTTTTTCTTCTCTCTCTCATATATGATTTTTAAGCTCCTTTTTTGAGTTCTTCCATGAGTTCTTTCTTGGGCTTGAGACCACTTCCCATTTTTGTTTGGGGTTTTGCCCATATTTTGACATTGTTGTTCTGAGTTTGGCTTGATTTTCCCTGTCACCATAATAATTTTCTATGGTCAGATTCTTTTTTTTCTTGGTTTTTTTTTTTTGCTCATCTTTTTTGGCCTTTTTCCTTTCTTTTAAATTTGAACCCTGCTTCCAGGGTGGAAGGGGCACTATCTCAGGTGTCTTGAGCCAGGGGCTGCCTTTTACCTGATGTTTCACTGATGTTGCCCTGAGGCCCATGGGGGACCCTCATGTCTGGTGCTTCTCTGAGGGGCTGGGGTGGAGGTGTGTGACTGGTGCTGCTGGAGGGCATAGTGGTCTGGTAGCTTACCTGGTGCTGAGCTAGGGTCTAGTGCTGGTGTCTGGCATGTGCTGAGGCTGGTGTGGTGTTTCTGTGTTTCCTTATGGCTACACTGAAGCACATGGGGGACTGGCCACTGGCGGCTGCCTGTTTGCCCAGGGCTATGCTGAAGCAAGTGGTAGTTCTAGGACCTGACATCTGCTGTTCCCCTGGCTATGCTGAGGTATGTGAGGCAGGGGTGGGGGTGGCCCTGGTTTTGGCATTTGCCTGCTTTACTGCACTGGGGCTCAGGATCTCCCACTGGTTTGCTGAGGTGGGGCTTGCTGCTGGCTTGCTGGGATGATTCCTGCCCTGGACTGTGTTTCCCTTTTACCTGAGTGACACAGACCTCTCTTGTCGATCTTCTAAGTTTCTTGGGCTCAAAGATTGTTTCACCCCATCTTTTTGCTGGTTCTGCTGTTCTAGGATTTATTTTATGGTTGTTTGGTGGTGACTATGGGAGAGTTAGTCAGGAAATCTGGGTTCTAATCTTAGTTGGGCTAGTAAGGAACTAGTTGTGTGACCTTAGGTAAGTTCCACTCTCTGTTGGAAGTCACTCATGTATCAAATAGGAAAAATGACTTACCTAACACAGTTGTCAGTATCTGATGGATAATATTTCACCGATGTGGATATTTCCTCCAGCAAAGTAGATTTCAAACTCTCTACTAAGCCACTCTTTAACTGACTCGTGGGCTAGAGGTGACTCTACTGTCCCAATATAGTGATAGAACTGCTTTATTTTTATGTTTTTGGAACTGCTTTACTGACAGATCCAGAAACAGCCTACATTATCTCTTGTCCCAAGAACATCCAACTAACTGTAGAGGACCTTATCACCAGTAGGGTGGCTATCAGGTGATGAATTTTTTGATGTATGGAGTACAGGTCTTAAAATGACTAGATGGAATAGTCTTTTTGATGTAAAATGCATTTCTGATATTAATAGGTTACTGGAGGAGTCTTGAATTTGATTATGAGATGAAACTTCTAAATCACATAACCCAGCTTGTGGATTCTGAATCTTGGCCTTTTAATAGAGTTCCTTTAACTACTTGTCTTCACGAACTTGGACCATTGGAACCAGAGTGAGTATTTTAAATGCTTGTTGTCCACAAGATTTCTTTCCAAATGGAAACATAAAATAAAAGCTATTTTTATTTTTTTAACCAGGTAGGTATTGGCAACCAGTTAAGCTACAGAATAGTTCAAATTTTGGTAAATTGAATTTTATGTATAATTAAAAGGAATTTTGAATTTTGCAGTTTCTTAAGAAACCAGGAATTTTGCTATAATATGTACGAACTATTTCCTTTATAGTAGCTAGAATAGTATAAAGAAGGGTTATATAATATTTCTTATGGTAGCCTTGAAAATTTGCATGTGCTCAAAAATTATTTTTCAGAATTTGAAATTATTTATTCTTACAAAACCCAAATTCATATCTTAGTTTCTGGCTGGGGGTGATAAGGATTCTCAAAATAATGCATAAATAGATTGTGATGGTACCTTTTCAAATTGCATTTCTAATTTTTTTTCAGGCAAATGATAGAACACTGTCTTGAATGTTATGGAAAGAAATATATGGATGAAGGTAAGATTTGGTAAGAAAGATTACCTTAATTGTACCTTCAGGTAAAGAAAATAACCTTGATATTTGATAAGCTTTTGCAAATTATGTACAATATCACTGCAGGGAAGGAATGTTGAGATAAGGAGTTAAATTTGATTTGAGAAAGAACTTTGAATATAAAGAAAACATAACAAGTTTGAATAAGGTCTAAAGTGAGCTGTTTTTCTTCCTTAGGCGAAGTTTATTTTGAATTAAATACTGATAAAATATGCAGAGCAACAGCACAGATGCTATTACAGAATGCAGTGAGATTTAATCTCTCAGAATTTCAGGAAGTGTGGCAACAAAGTGTTCCTGAAGGAATGACAACTAGAATGGATCAGCTGAAGGTAATGTCACAAACTGATGACTTTTGTAATTTGATTTTGTAATTTTGCAATATGGTTTTCATAACTTTGTATATATTTAATTATTTGATTTGATTTTAAGAATTTTGAATTTAACAAATACCAACTGTCATGAACATTGCCACATGCAAAGTGGAACAGAAAAAAGAGTCTGTTACATGAAACTATGAATCCTTCTTATGTACAGCTTGCTTTTCCTTTTAATTATATAATAAATTAAACATGTAATTTTCAAAGCTGCCCTGCTTGTCTGTGTTTCCTTCTGGCTTTCCTTCTGTTCTCTTCTGTGCATTTAAAAAATGTTACACTGACCCTTTTTCCCTTCCTTCCTTCCCCCCTTTCTTTCTTTTCTCCTTCTCTCCCTCCCCCCCTTTTGTATTGATAGCACCTCTCTCATCTTTTTTCCTTTCCCCCAATGGAAAAAAAATAGAAAAACAAAACCTATGTAGCAAATATGCATAGTAAAGTAAAATAAATTCCCACATTAGCTATATTCAAAATATTTCTTTAAACCATAATTTCAAAGGACTCATAATAAAACATAGGTTCCACATCCAGATAGAGAGCTGATGGACTCAGAGTGAAGACTGAAACATATTTTCTTCTTTTTCTTTCTTTTTTTTGGACGTGACTAATGTGAAAATTTGTTTTGCTTGAACATACATATTTGCGATGGGTTTTGTTTTTCTTGCCTTCTCAGTGAATGGGGGAAGAGAAGTGGCAGGGGGAAGAAGGGGAGGAGGAAGAAGGGGAGAGAGAATTTGGACCTGAAAATAAAACTGAATTTCAAAAAAGAAAAAACGAAGTAAAATCTATATGTATGTGTGCACACACATCTTATTCTGCACTTGAGTTCATCAGCTCTTTCTGAGGAGGTGAGTACCATGTTATCATGAGTCCTCTGGAATTTCATATAATTAAAAGAGATTTTGATTCTTATAGTTTCTTAAGGAACCTGGAGTTTGGCTAGTCATTGCATTGATCATAGTTACTAAGACTTTCAAAACAGTTTTTCTTTATAATGTAATTTTATAAGGTGTTCTCCTGGTTTTGTTTTCATCCTGAATTAGTTTATACAAGTCTTCCTAGGTTTCTCTGAAACCATTCCTTTCATAATTTCTTATGGTGAAAGATTTTAATAATTTGAGAGGTTTTTGTCACTAAATGAAACACAATTATATGGCTGCAAAATTTTGCTTTCTATTTTTAAAATTGCATATAAGAGCCTTTATAAAAAAAAAAAACCAAAACTTATAGGTGATGTAGCCAAGTAATTCCCAACAAACAAATAGTTTGTAATAAGGAGGGGTTTTTGGTAAATTGTTGGTTTGGAACTTACTGGATTTTGCAGTAGAAAAAAATGTTATAAAATGGTGGTTGCAGGGAAAACAACATAGTATGTAATCTGTTGGTTGAATATTTGGGTATTCACATATCTGCTGTTTGTAACTTGGAACAGGAGGAAGGGAGAAAGGAACATGCAATACCAGGCTCTCTGCTAAGTGTTTTATGAATATTATTTCATGGTTTCATTGGAAGAGTGCTAATTTTGAAGTCAGAGGACCTGGGTAGGAATTGTTAGACACTGCCTTTGTGACCTTGGGCAAGTCACCTCTCTAGGCCCCATTTCCCTCATCTGTTAAATGAGAAGTTGAACTAGATTACCTTTAAAATCCCTTGTAGTTTTAAATCTGATTGATGAGTGACAGTGGTTGTAATTTTAACTTTTTTTTTGTCATGTTCCAATTCCTTGAGTTCTCTTGATTGTAGCATGAACTTGTAGAATCTCAGAATTGGAAGGGATCTCAGAGGCTATATCTAGTTCAAGTCATACCTGAACAAGGATCCCTTTTATAAAATACTAGTATAAAATACAAGTTGATCTAGTCTCTGCTTGAATACCTTTAGTAAGGGGAACTCACTACCTAAGACATCTTTCATTCTTAGGATCTGGGATAGCCCTAATTCTTAGCAAATCTTTTCCTGACATCTTGGCTAAGGTTGCCTAAACCTTATCTTTTATCCCTAGTTTTTTTTTTCATGTAACTGTCAACAAACAAAATTAGTCTAATGCTTCATCACTTGGAGATAGCTACTATATAGTCCCTTACGTCTTCTCGTCTTTGAGATAAACATCCTTTGTTCTTTTCTTTGAGCCTGATGAGGCAGGTCCATCCTGATCACCTTCCTCAAATGGGGCATCCAGAACGGACAGTGAACAGCTGGACTACCTCTAGTCATGGACATTGTGCCTCTCAACACAGCCAAATTGGGTTTGTGTTCTCCACTTGATGCCCTCCATTATTTCCAGATCCTGGATTTCCTTAGCATATGTATACCTCTTAAAAGACCATGCTGCTTGTCCCTCCAATCCTTCTTTTACCTATCCTATTCCTTTTGAATTAGGTGTATCTTTTCAGAGCCATAGTTTAATTATTACATTAAGTCTCAGTGATTCCAGGGACATGACATCAAATAAGCCACATGGAACTAGGGACTCTCTTTTTCTTTCACTTTCATAATAATACCTTTTATGTTTGTATATGATCAACTGAGGCCATGGTTTTTTTGTTGATGGAAGCTGTCTCATGAATTTCTGGGTGGTTCTGCTGATGTAAGACTGCCTAAGTATACTTCCTCCTTCTTCCTTTTCAGTTTAAAGCTTTTGATTAATTTGTCAGATTCCAGGCAAATACATTTTTAATAGTCCTTGTTAAGTGTGCTTCATTTGTGGCCAAGAGCCTGTTATTTCTATATTTTGACCCACAGTTCATAAACAAAAGGCATTAGTAGAATGAACACTGGATTTGTAGTAAGATGACCTGGATTCAAATCCCAGGTTTGCTACTAACTACCTGTATGGCCTTGGGCAAATTATTTACCAAGCCCTCTCTGGTCTTGGTTTTCTGAGCTAGATTCAGTGACATTTAGGGTTCCCCTTCTAGGTGTAAATTAATAAGAAATTAAAATCCTATTTTCAGATTTCATGTTATTAATTAAATCTGCCTTTTGCTTCCAGCTATCTTACATTCCATTGATAGCGTGAAGAAAATATCATCTGTGCCCCTAAGGTCTTCAGTTTCTTGCCCTAGAAATTATAATCCTTAGCATTCAGTGCTTTCTAGATTCCTTCTAACAGTGTCATTCCCATTTGAGTCATTGTAAGTGGGTGGTAATTGTCAGGTGTGACAGGTCTTGGGCTCTGTCATGTCCTAGATACACACTCTAGGAAGACAGCAGAATTCTCTCATGAGTAGTTGGTGTTATCACTACTCCTCATCAAGTAGTCATCAACCACTATTACTAGTTGTCTCACCTTCTCCCCACAGCATTTATGGATCCACTTCATCAGTTCTTGCCAGAGAAATAACTGCCCCTCTTCCCCAAGGAGAGCCTCATCTCTCTTGCTTAGCTCCCAACATTCAGTGATCTTTCTTCTTACTTATGTCTTCTGTGTCACATCTTCTACCTTCCAACCTCTTGACACTGATCAGGATTTCCTTCTGCCTCTTTGTATCCTTTTTCTTAGTTGCTTTTATACTGAAGCCTTTCTTCCAATTTATAAAAGGACACTTTGGTCTTATAACCTAAGGAGTAGAGAGGCTGTCCTCAGCATAATTGTTTGTCTTGCAGCCCCAGCCAAGTAGCTTAACTGTGCTGAGGGCTGAGGCTGGTCTTCCTCCTAAATGAGAAGGGCTCAAGGATGGCCTGTGCAGGCCACAGCCATTGCATTAGCCCCGATGATAACAATAATAGCAGTGTCTAGTTAGATGGCAGCTTTAAGGTTTAAGGCAAAGCCTCTACATCCCTTAATTCATCTGATCTTCATGACAGCCTTAATCAGGTAGCTGCTCTTCTTTCTACTCAAGATCCTTTGTTCCTCTCAATAGCTGCCCTATATAAGTGCTCTGGCTAACAAATGGTATGGCCCTTTAATTTTCATTTTCCTTATCATTAACATCTTTTCACCTCATCAGGGCTTTGACTGACATACCCAACTTGTCCTTCTCTGGGCTGACCCCTAGCCTTCCTTTAGCTTGTCCCAGCTCTTCATCCTGAAGCCATACCATCCCTTATATCTTTATTAAGAGGCCTCACTTCAGCCCTGGAATTCACACAGTGCAAGCAAGCTCTCTGCTCCTTTGGCCTTTCCCACTGATTGGATGGCTCCTCCCAGAACCTCCATTTGAGGAGGGGGCCAGGCCTCTCTCCTTCCTCTTAAGTCAGCTCTCTGGTCTTCTCTTACCAAGTTCTTCTTGTCAACAGGCAATCAGAACTTCACACAAAACTTACATGAAAATGAACATGCATGTGGTACCCAAAGAGTTCACAATCCATACATTAGTTTGCATAGTTACAGCAGCAGGACAAAGGAAGGAGGAGATACCAGAATCTCCACCTAAAGGGGCGTGGCATGGCATGGGAGGGGAAAGATGCAGTAAAGGTGGGAAACCGATAAAACCCCTCCAAAAGGGGAGGGGCAAGGTGATGGCAAAAGCAGGATTTTCCCTTGTGAACTGCTAGACCATGAGAATATTATGTTCTCCTTATCTACAAGGTGCTTCACAAGCCTAGTGCAGACTTCTGGTGCCTGTCTTGACTCCTAAGGACACATAGGGAGTTTGTGAGATGCAAACAACAAATTATGTCAACTGGTGAGGGGATAGAGTGGGGGCGCTTCATCCTGGACACATTCAGGGCCTCTTACATCCTCTGGGTCCAGTGTTTCTGGAAAATATGGCAACTAAAAAAGACAAGTTCAGGGAACCCCTTAACAGCCCTTAACAGCCCTTAGCACTCTTCATCCTTCCTTTTCAGCTTCCTTTTATGTGTTGTCTTTCCTCACTAGAATGTATACCCCGTGAGGGCAGAAACTGTCTTCTACTTTTATTTTTATTCCCAAAACACTGTAAGTACTACTTAATAAATGCTAGTTGACTGATCGAACCAATTTCTTCCTCTAGTCTTATCAGCTTCTTTAACCAGTTGCTACCTAAATTCTCCCAAATTTCCTCCCCATATTCAGATTATTCCTCCTTCTCCTTCAGCTGTAGTCTTCTAGCTTCTTCTCCTACCTGACCTTTTCCCATCAAATCTAGGAGTGGAATGAGTACATTTAGATAATCTTTTTTTCAAAAGCTACATTAACTTTCAAGCCATCAAGAGAGTATTCACTATACTCACTTATGTACAATACATCTATAACCCATTTATCCACAGGAAGTTATTAGGCTTTCGGTGATGTTGAGCCACCCTTGATTCAGTTCAGGGCTGTATTCTTCCATATACTCCTTCTTGAAAGGGGTTAGATTATTTTGCCACAATGGACTTCACTGAGATGAAAGTACCTGTGGTGTCCATTCAACTCATAGGATTTGGCTGACGCAATTGATGGGACTGGACACCATTTGCACTAGTTAAAGTTATCTGAGAAAAGAGTGTGTGTCAGCAGCTTTTTAGTCACTCTGGTTTTTTAGAGATGGTCAGTAGTGCTGGTGAGTAAGAAAAGAGCTCTTTAGAACTCTTTAGAAAAGTATTGGCTTTCCACCTTCTCCATCTCTACTCAGCTCCAAGGGTTGCCTTATCTTTGGCCAGACTGAGAAATAACTAGTCTGACTGTTGAACCCTAAATTCAACTGAAACATGTTATTGTCTCTTTAGAAGAAACGAGTAGGTTACTAGGGTAGTTTTGAGCAAGAGCTCAGAGATCAGGAAAATGACACCGAGTAGGAATTTCAAAGTTGGTATGACACCTCTTAAAATTTAGAGGGAAAATTTATAGAAAACAATGCCATATCCAGGAATAAGACTGAGTCTGCAAAGTTTTGGAATGGGTTATCAACAAACATATGGACGAGCACAAGTTATGTTATTTCCTAAGCTTGTTTATGAATACTGTTTCTTTTACTGGAAGTTCATATAGTAGTAGATTTGAAGTCTTCAAGAGTTACCCTGAGCATTGAGGAGTCAAGTGATTTGCTCAGGGTGACACAGCCAGTATGTGTCAGAGAATTTGAAGCTGGTGGTCCTGACTCTTAGGTGGACTGTGTGTCCCTTAAGCCAAGTTGTCTATTATATACACAACTGATATATATGCAAAACTAAGTGCAGTAATCAGAATTTCTAGAGAGAATAGGTAGTAAGAATAAGAGAAAGTGAACTTTTCCATATTATGACTTTTTAGGTAAAAAACTTGACATTTTTGTATTTGTCTCCATTGTTGTACAAATACGGTCTATCTCTGAGTTTCTTTGTAATCAGTAGGTAAAGAAGGAAATGGCCATACAAAATACATATACAGAGTATGTGTAGTTGAAGCTAATCCCTTTAGGAGAACTTTTTCTATATTCTTCTAGTTACCCAACAAGAGAGAAAGGCATATATTCATTTCTAGTGATAGTTTGTAGGAGGAAGATGAAGCAAAAGTTGCTATTTATTACTGGTACTGTTTTAAGGCTCCATGGAATTTCTGATAATTTAGTGGCAAATAACATCCTAAGTAATTAAGTTAAAATGAAATATAAAACCACTTCTTATGCTTAAGATTAAAGCAAATCTTTCATTTCTTCTCTCTTATTATCTGTAGGGTTTAGCACTCATGGATAAATATACTCGGCCAGAAACTATATTTTTGCTAAAGGTAGATGATTTACCTGAAGAAAATCAAGAAAGATTCAATAGCTTATTCACTCTAAGGGAAAAGTGGACAGAAGAAGATATTGCTCCATATATTCAGTAAGTAATTTATTAAAACCGTGTTTTGAGATTTACATTTTTTTTAAAGTGACCAGGTTTTGGGCAGCTTAATACAAATACAGTAGCTAATGGGTTGTCATGACCAATGGTTTCTTTAACGGAAGCATATTAGGTATACTCATACTGAATTATGTAATCCCTGCTTTCATACCTTTTAAAATTTATTTTTGTCATTTCCCGTACTTGGGATATGGCCTTCCTCCTGCCAGGATTCTTTTTCTCCACTTGTTGAAATCTCACTTGCCCTTCAGAGCTCAATTTAAATATCGATCACTTCATGAACTCTGTTCTGATTCTCTTAAAAGATAGAAGGGATTTATTTCTCTGAACTTTTTATAGTGTTTTATACCTTTTTTTAATACACTTATCTCATTCTACTTGAAATTAGTTATGTGCATGCCTTATCTCCTCTTCTGGATTATATACTATTTGGAGGCAGGTACTCTGTATTTTATCACCATTTGATTAAGGACATCTTTCAGTGTCTGGTACATAGTAGGCAAACATTAAATATTTGTTGGATATTGAATCACCATCTTACCTTGCCTGATATAAATTTGGGTGAAGTTTGTGATTAGTGGTACATTTCTCACTAGGTTATTGGACTATCCTCAACGTGGATTTGCTAGGGGAATAGTATATTCTCTAAGATCTGGAATCTGGAGGAAGAACTGTTTAGTTTGTCCTATCAACAGTTAATAATGAAAATTTTATAGTCAGCTACTTATAAAGTATCATGCTAACTTTTTTTTTCTTTCCTCAGAGATCTGTGTGGAGAGAAGCAAACAATTGGTGCATTGCTTACCAAGTATGCTCGTTCATCAATGCAGAATGGTGTGAAATTTTATAATTCTAGAAGACCTGTCTCTTAAAAGTCAGTTTAGCTGTTGGCTATAATTTTTGTATTTGATGTGTTGATATTTTGTTAATTTTTCTCTCTTGGAGATGTTGTTTAGGCATTCAGCTTCACCATCTAATTTTAGGGCCCTATACCCTATTTTCATTTCGACTATTGGGACACTTATATAACACTTGTATAACTTTACATGTTATTAGCAATACTGCATACTATTTTATATATGTAATAACAAAAACAGACATTTTCCATATTTAGCATCTGCAGTACCCTTCGTCCACTAGAAAAGTTCTATAATAAATGCTACATTTGGATCAGTAAGGTTTGAGGCTTTTTGTACTTTGAAATCTAAGACAAGATAGAGAGATAATGGAGTCCAACTCATTTATTTCCCAGATGAGGAAACTGAGGCTCACAGCAAATTGCTCAAGGTCACAAAGTTAATAATAGAGCCAGGAGTACAACCCAAGGTTCTTTGGTCTGCTTACTTTGCTATGCTTAAATCCATGTGTTTCCATGCTTCTCTGTATTTATTTTTCACATGGCAAGAAGTTTTTAAGAACTTATTACGTGAAAGGTACTCTGCTAAACCGAGGATACAGATACAAGAAAAGAAGATCACACTTGCCCTTAAGGAGCTTACATTCCAATAGAGGAAGACAACGTATAAAAGGAAGTTGAAAAGGGAGGTGGTAAAGGTACTGGTTCAAGGACGTGATGGCAAAGTCTATGTAGTGAAGGATGACTGGCTTGGGCCCTTTTTCAAAATGAAGGTTCTGAGAACAACTCACCAACAGTAGGGGGCCACAGTAGGAGCAAAGGAAGAAGGCAAAGTCTCCAGAGTATAGTAATATTCCCATTTCATTCATATTCTACAGTGTGTTTAGCTATTCCCTAGCCTGTGGGCATCTTTGTTCCCAGTTCTTTGGATCACAAAAAGTACTGTTATAAATATTTAGGTATATATGCAGCCTTTCTTTTTGACAATGACCTGCTTGGGGTATATGCTTAGGAGTGGAATCTATGAGGCAAAAGATATGGATGTTTTAGTCACTTTTATTTGCAAAATTCCAAACTGCTTTCTATTATGGCTGTACTGATTCACAGTCCCACCAACAATGCACCAGTGTTCTTGTCTTTCTATAACCCCAGTTTTTTATTCCCAATCTGAGTAGTTAACTTTCTCTCATCACACTCTCTCAGGCAGAGGTTAAGTAAGTTTGCTTGCCTTCAAGCTCTGGAACATCTACTGTGCATACTGGAGTTCATGGTGTTCTTTCTAACCCATTCTCTGTATTTTTCCATTGCACAGTTATTTTGAGAATGTATTTAACTCTAATTGGAAGCAGTATGATTCTTTGTATGCCAACTGATGTATCATCAGTGAGATGTATGTCAATCAGTTTTCTAGTAATTCTTTTGGATTGTGTGGATGTAGTCACATTTCAGAGGCAGGTGATGATGTATTCGATTGAATGGTAGGTTAGGGATCAGAAAACCAAGGTTTGAGTTTGATCTTGGGCTAGTCACTTCATTTCTCTTGGCCTCAATTTCCTCATCTTTAAAATGAAGAAGATGATTTAGAGAGGTTCTTAACCTGGGGTCCATGAACTTGTTTTTTAAATATCTGGCTGTAGCTACCTGATCTTAAATTGTATTATAAAGCAGCAATCATCAAAACTACTTGGTACTGGCTAAGAAATAGAGTGGTGGATCACTGCAATAGGTGAGGTATGCAAGACACAACAGTAAATGGCTTTACTAATCTACTATTTGATAAATCCAAAGACTCCAGCTTCTGGGATAAGAAATCACTATTTAGCAAAAACTGCTGGGAAAACTAGAAAAATGTATGGCAGAAACTGGGCATAGATCAACATCTTACACCCTATACCAAGGTAAAATCAAAATGGATACATGATTTAGATTAAAAAGACTGATACTATAAGCACACTAGAAGAGCATGGAATAGTTTACCTTTCAGATCTATGGAGAAGGGAAGAAATTACGACCAAACGAGATGGAAAACATGAAAAGCAAAGTGAACAATTTTGATTACATTAAATTGAAAAGTTTTTGCACAAATAAAACCAATGCATCCAAGATTAGGAGGGAAGCAGAAAACTGGGAAAGAATTTTTACAACCAGTGTCTCTGATAAAGGTCTCATTTCTAAAATATACAGAGAACTAAGTCAAATTTATAAGAATACAAGTCATTCCCCAATTGATAAATGGTCAAAGGATATGAACAGGCAGTTCTCAGAGGAAGAAACTAAAGCTATTGACAGTCGTAAAAAAATGTTCTAAATCTCAATTGATTAGAGAAATGCAAATCAAAATGACTATGAGATACCACATCACACCTGATTGGCTAACATGACAAAACAGGGCAATGATAAATGTTGGAGAAGATGTGGGAAAGTTGGAACACTAATACATCATTGGTGGAGTTATAAACTGATCCAACCATTTTGGAGAGCAATTTGGGACTATGCCCAAAGGGCTATACAATTGTGCATACCCTCTGATCCAGCAATACCACTTCTAGGTCTGTATCCCAAAGAGATCATAAAAATGGGAAAAAGACCCACATGTACAAAAATATTTATAGCAGCTCTTTTTGTGGTGGTAAAGAATTGGAAATTGAGGGGATGCCCATCAATTGGGGAATGGCTGAACAAGTTGTAGTATATGAATGTAATGGAATACTATTGTGCTATAAGAAATGATGAGCAGGCAGAATTAAAAAAAAAACTTTGAAAGACTTACAAGAACTAATACAGAGTGAAATGAGCAGAACCAGAACATGATACATAGTAACACCCACATTGTTTGATGACTGACTTTGATAGACTTAGCTCTTCTCAGTAATGCAAGGATCTAAGACAACTCCAAAAGATTCATGATGGAAATTGCTATCCACACCCAGAGAAAGAACTATGGAGTCTGAATGCAGATGGAAGCATACTACTTACTCTCCTTTTCCTTTGTTATTTTGTTTTATTGCTTCATTCTCGTGGTTCCTCCCATTAGTTCTAATTGTTCTTTATATCATGACTAATGGGAAAATATGCTTAATGTGAATGTGTATGTAGAGCCTATATAGGATTGCAACATCTCAGACTGAGGGGCAAGAAATGGAAGAGGGAGAAAATTTAAAACTCAAAATCTTATGGAAGTGAATGCTGAAAACTAAAAAAAATATTTTAAAAAATGAAAAAAAATCTGGCTATTTCAATGCAACTGGTTTCCTTTGTAATCTTTTGCATTTTATTTTGTGCATTTAAAAACATTATTTGGAGAAGGGAAATATGCTTCACTAGGCTGCCAAGGGAGTCCATGACACAAAGAAGGTTATTAAGAACCCTTGGTGCAGAAAGTGATCTTCAGTTCCAAATATACGATATTTTAAAACTGCTCTCTAGCTGAGGTCCATGGCCTAGTTGAGTTTAAAAAAAAAAAAAACCTACATAAAGATAATAATATTAATAACTAGCATGTATATATGTACATTATATATGTGTGAGAGTGTGTGTATATGTATGTGTGTGTGTATATATAACTATGTGTCTCCCTTAACACTTAAATAGTGAGTTTTTTAATTGAATAAATGAATGGATGATGGGGATGGGGGAAGTATCAACTTCAAGGCTGCCTGGCAATCAATCAACATTTTACTAAGTGCCCACTATATGCCCTACAGGCACTGTGCTAAGCACTGGAATAATAGCTAACATTTATATATAGCTCTTACTATGTGTCAAGAACTGTGCAAAGTGATTTACAATTATTATCTCATTTAATCCTCACAACTGCCTTGGGACGTAGGAGTTATTGTTATTCCATTTTACAGCTGAAGAAACTGAGGGAAACAGATTAAGTGACTTGCCTCGGGTTAACACCACTAGTAAGTGTCTGAGGAGGCCCCTCCAAGTACCCATTGAGACACTCAAGGAAGGAGGGGATCAAATATAAAATGCTTGTTTGTCGTTCAGAGCCCTTCACGACCTGGCCCCCTCCAACCTTTCCTGTCTTCTTAAACCTTATTCCCCCCTCTCCATCCCACATACTCTTCGATCCAACGACTTTGGCCTTGTTTTTCCTCAAAGTAGACACTGCATCTCCCAACCCTCTGTCTTTTCCCAGGCTGTCCCCCAAGCCTGGAACTCTCGGGCTCTTGGCTTCCCTAGCTTCCCTCACATCAGTCAACAGGCATTTAGTAAGCACCTACTTTGTGTCAGGCTCTGTGCTTAGCGGCAGGGAAACAAAAGCAAAACGAAGTTCCTGCCCTCAGGGAGTTCACAGTCTAAAGAGTCAGGGTTTAAGGCAATCTGTCCACTAGCACTTATTAAACGCCTGCTTCCCTCTCCACGACACTCAGTTACCTCCTGCATGTCTCAATGTCGGATCCCCACATCGACCGAAACACGCAACCCTCCTATTCGAACGTATGAAATACATTTAAAAACGGATTTCCTTTCCCCTACCACGGACCAGTAACTTCCGGGTGCAAACTCCTCGTCGCGCGCCACTTCCGGTGGCGCACCGGAAGATAAAGATGTATTGGCCGTTGTCCGTGCGCCGCGGAGGCTCCTGGGAGCTGGCGGAGCCGGCTCTCTGCTCGCACGGCGCCGGTTGCAGCTGCCGCTGCCGCTGCCCCTGCCGCAGGAACGGCTGCTCGCGGGAGCGCCGCGTCCTCGCGCCGGAGCCCTCCCCTAGCAGGCGAGCCAGGAGGTGGTCAGAACAGGCGGGCAGCGGCCAGAGCCGGGGAGGGTCCGAGCAGGGCATGGTTTTGTTAATGTTGACCGAACTTTTGTCCGGGGGAGTCAGGCCGTAGCCGCCGCCGCCGCCGCCGTCGCGGCCGCGGCGCGGGTCATTGGGCTGAGGAAGCCGGGGAATGCCCAGTAAGCCGAGAGGGAGGGGGCAGAACGAGTCCCTTCTCCGTTCTTCATGCCGCCCACTGGCTTAGAGCCCTGCAGGATGAACAGGAAGAAAGGCGACAAGGGATTCGAGAGCCCGAGACCATATAAACTATGAGTATTCCCTCTTCTTGTTTTCTCGTGCTGTCGTTTTGCGCCTGGGGGTGTAGCCTTGAAGCCCGGGGGAGCTGGGGTGCAGCTGGTCCACCCGGTGGGGGAGAGCTCGACGTGCCGCATCCCTGGGGTTGTGGAGTCAATGAGAACATCCCTGCGAAAGTGATTTAATTTCTTGTGCGTCAGTTTCCCCTCCTGTAAAAGGTGAGGAGGCTGGACTGACGGTTCCTTCGGGTGAATCTACTCCCAAAGAATTCCTTTGGGGGGAGAGTTAACACCTTCACGGGGACAAATAGAGAATATATACAAAGTAAACAAACGCGAACGATTGTCGTTAGAAGAAAATTGCAAAATGTATCCCTTTCCGGTAGGAAAGCTAGCGGGGATTTTAGAGATCCTGGGATTTAACTCATTTTAAATGTGAAGAAACTGAGGCCCAGAGAAGGAAAAAACTTCTCTTTGGCCAAGGTCTGCCAGATAGTGGATAGAAGAACTAGGATTCGAAACCATGCCCTCCGACTCCAGATCAAACCCTCTTTCCATTGTATCACACTGCCTCAAGCCTGGTCACAATGTTCAAAAATTGAACTTAAGTTATTATCATTATTGCTCTGTGTGCTAGCCTAGTGCTGGGAGCTGTGGGGCATAGAGATATATAAGAACAGTCCGTAACACAGGCAAGACAATTAGGGAACAGGAGAAGATGGTTTATAACATAGGCTGCAGGAATGGAAAGAGATCAGAGGGGGCTAGAGGAATTAAAGACTTTATGGTGAAGTTGGGCCCAGAAGGATGGCAGGTAGGGTTTGGACAGGTGAAATCTAGTCAGGTCCTCCCTGATTTTCTAAAGGATTCTGGATTGCCTGCAGTGCCTGTCCTCCATCCTTCTGGGTGCAGCTCTCCCAACACATCCTAGTGCTTCTGGGGGGGAAGCTTATTCCTAGTGAGCACTGGGGGAAGGAGTTTATCTCTTTGCCTTGGGGTGGGCATCCAGAGCTAGAAACCCAGCATAGGAAGATGTTTTGGATAGACTGCTGGACTTGGAGTCAGGAATGTCACCAATTACATTTTAATAATAATTCCTGTAATACCTAGCTCAGGAGGTTGTGAGATTCAAATAAGATAATGTGTATAAAGGCACAAAAAAAACAAAAAAACTTTGAAACACTAAATCGATGTCATTTTTATTTTAGTGAAATAGAGCACAAGGATTTGGACACATGTAATAGAGAGCATTGAGCCCCAACCTGGTCAAGAATCCCCTCTATAACATCACCTATCATGTGGTCTTTTTGACCACTGCTTGAAGATTTCTCTTAAATGAGAGAGAAATCATTACTTCCTAGGCAGCTGATTCCTGAATAGGACATTGAATAAAATGAATGGATGAATGGTCGAATGAATGAACAAATGGGTGATTGGTTGGATGAATGATGGAATGAGCAAATGAATGAAACAATGAATTGAGAATTTCAGCCAGAGGGTTTGATTTTGAGTTCTGGCTCCTCTTTCCTATACAGGTAGCCTTGAAAACAATGAGGGACGAGGTTGTGGA